AATTCTCAGTTTCCCAGCCTCTTCAGCATGAGGGTCTCTTAGCAACCAACGGTCTATGTATTCTCCGTGTTTGAGTTCCCAAACTGCCTGTTCTTCACAGCTACAAATACAGCTCAGTTTCTCTCCATTGTGCTGCTAACATCAAGGGAAAAGGGCTGCTTATTTATTTTTAGATTTGAACCAAAGTTAAAAATATGCAAGCAGTGCCGATTACACCTAGTTTACTCCTTATGCATAAGTTATCGGCCAATGTTTTCCACATGAGAGCAATTGTGCATTAAAAGTGATTTTTGCTTTTGAAATGGTTACAACCTCTTGTGGATGAACATGTAAATATGTTTGCTATATTAAAGTCACCATATAAGTTGTTGAATGACTTCTGTGTTGCCATTTTCAGAACTGTTTCAAACACTTGACACAGGAAATTACTTTAGAAGGATGCATGCTACAGAAAGTATTCACTACCAGAGTTGAGAGGCTTTAGTCATGAGAACAACTGGAGATTTCCCATTTTAATGGAGGTTAAAGAGTTTGCCTGCTTTGGTCCATCCTCACAAGCTTCATAGTTGAAATTCTTAAGCTACTTAATAGGACAGATTTAGCAAGATGTGGGGAGAGTTCAGGGAATCACAATTAGATAGATAGTTATCAGGGAGCTGGCACCAACACAATGAACCAAGAGGCCTCCAGCTCCCCTATAATGCGGGGAGGCCATTTTGCATAAATAAAGTTTCACATCGGGAAATAAGATGAAAATTCTATTAATTTGAGTGATGGCCAATGTAGTAGGCAAGCTCACCTCTTTTCAAATACTTTTCATGGGATCTTTAAATCTGCTTTATCAAACAGAGACAGAAAGAGTCAGACAGACAGAGAGACAGGAATTAATGTCTCATCCAAACAGCAGCACCTCCAAGAATATTTTAGAACTTCCCTACAAAATCATTGACCACCCTCCCATTCTGTCTATTAGCCCAAGGAATTAGCTCTACGTTTCAGCCACAAATGTCCAGACATTTCTCTAGATGTGTGGCATCACCTGTAAATTCATTGGGTTTTTATTTGCATTCATACAAGGGATGCAAGAGTTCCTTAATGCCACACTTGGTCAAGTGCAGGCTGGATGTGAATTCACTCTCATCTCATCTCTGACGCTCAGTTATTTTTGTCCACGTTTGGACTAAGGTTTTAATTAGGTCAGGAGCAGAGTGGCCCGGGTGGAACCAAACTGAATATCAGTGGGCAGATTTTCTTTGCGAGTATTTCTTGTTAGCACTATCCCCACCCCTTCCATCGCTGATAATCAAGATTAATAGAACAGTAATTGTCAGTTGGAGGGCTGAAGGTCCTATTCTTTGGATTTGTCCTGCATTTTGTGCACAGGACATTCTTGGACTTAAAACAACTTAAGATTTTCCTTTACTTTACCGGCCAGTACCTTTTCATATCCCCTTTTAACTCTTTCAATCTCTCTTTTAAGTTCCCTTTTGCACAAGTATGGGCATAGATAGGGTAACAGGAAGAAACTTACCCCCTTGAAGTGACCAATAACCAGGGGCATAGATTTAAGGCAAGGGATAGAAGGTTTCAAGGAGATGTGAGGAAGAACATTATCATCAAGAAGCTGGTGGGAATCCGGAATTCACTGCCTGGTAAGGATGGTAGAGATAGAAACCCTCATAACATTTAAGAAGTATTTAGATACTCACTCACAATCCCAAACCATACAAGGTTATGGGCCAAGTGCTGGGAAATGGGATTAGAATAGTTGGTTGGTTGTTCTTGACCAGTACAGACACAACTTGCTGAAGGACGTTTTTGTGTGCTGTGGATCCCTGTGACCCTATGGCCATTTCTCTTATCTTTACCATTGCCATATTTTCTCAATTTTTTTTTCCCAAAAAATGAGTTGAGATTGGGTGTCTGCCAAAATACAGCATGCGTGTGTTTTGGAAACAAGCTGAGCATGTACAACATGAAAACATTGTTTTCAAATTAAAATAGAAAAGTCCACAACATTTAAAATTATTTGATGCTTGGGAACAACACACTAATTTTCATTGAGACCACTAACTATTGGATGAATTACCAACTTCCCTCCCTGGTGCACTGAGCAGTTGTCATTCTTCATACATGGGTAGCCCTGTCTTCTTCCTATTTTTCAGCTGTTTCTATCTCATCCTCATTGAGGTGTGCTGCAGCCACTGACTTGCGGTTTCTTATATCAGCACTAGCTCCTCTGAACAATTGCAAATATTAAGTGGCAATGATCATTCCCCCTTCTGTCCTTTACCCTTCTTCTGATCCAACTACCAACTTTTAGTTGTCCAGGAGTTCCCTGTGGATGCTATCCATCTTTCAGCATTCTCAATCTTTCTTTCAAACTGTTGTTCTGCTATAAATCCGTTGATGGAGCCCACCAACCATGCAGCCTTTCCCTGTTCTAGTAGCTCACCTAACTCTGACAGGAGTAACTTATTTTGCCTGCTTGCACTGTCCTGCCTTTCTGGTCAGCATAGCTTTGTCTGGCTGTTCCATTAGTGAACCTTGAGGGGTCTGGCCTCTCTATGTGGAATTCTGACCTCTCATCTAACATTCTCCCATCCTGTCAGTGCAGCTCTGCCACCTAACCCAGTGCCTATTGTCCCGAGTCCTTCTTCAGATTCTTTGGATTTTGCCCACCTCTGTCCGGTACAGCTCTCTGATCTAACTACGGCTAGTAAATTAAAGCATACTCACCTGAATACTGTCCTGGAGGAATAACACAAGATCTGGCCAACTGCACTAGGCTATCATAAAGGTAGTTGACAAACTGATAGAGCAGCCAGGATTGTTTATTTCACGTAGAGACTGAGCTTTGATCCAGATTAAAGCTTCTCTCCAACTGTCATTAACTGTTCTCCTGGAGTGCTCTACCATTTGTCAAGTATCCCTGGAACAACTTGGAATTATTTCATGATTCCTTCAGTCACTGGGACATCATCTTGGAATTCCCTCCATAACAGCACTCTACGCATACCTGCATCACATGTATTGCAGCAGTTCAAGAAGACAGCTCACTACTAACACCTCTTTGGCAATTAGGAATGGGCAATAAATATTAGCCTAGCCAAAGACACACACATCCAGTGAATGAATGAATTAAAGTTCCCCAGCAAGTGAGCCCACTGCTACTAAATTTTCTCAATTTGATTTAAGTCAGCCTGAATCAGCCAGCTTTGATTGGACAAGTTCAGGTTCAGATCAGCTCTCACTGACTGAGAGATCAGTTCAAAGTTGGCATCTTTACACAAAATCAGAATTTAAACCAACACCATGATGCTATGTAGAGAGCCTATTAAAAGTGACATCAACTAAGAAGACTGATCAAACTGTGCAGTGAAAGGAACTTGTGGCTATGGTTTTGGTTGAATATCAGTATATTATTTAGATACAAGTCAGATATTTGTGCAATTATCATTCAATATTTCAGTGAGTTATTGTATTCCTATCACTTATCATAGAGATTTTACTTGTGCAGTTGTTGGTAAGTTAGCATTAATCGTTGACAGAATCAAAACAGAAAATGCTGGAGAAACTCAGCAGGTCTGATAGCACAGGGTTAATAACAAAAACAAAGAACTGAGCAAGGGGTCACCGGACCCGAAACGTTAACTCTGTTTTCTCCTCCACAGATGCTGCCAGACCTGCTGAACTTTTCCAGCAACTTTGCTTTTTGTTCCTGATTTACAGCATCCGCAGTTCTTTCTTTTTTTTTTATTTAGCATAGGGTTAATGATTGAGTCCGATATGATTTATCTTCGGAACTTTGAGAGTTTCTCCAGCATTTTCTCTTTTAGTTCAGATGCCCAGCATCTGCAGTGGGGAAGTAATCTTCAGAATCGAAACTTTCATGCTTGTTCCCCTTGCCACAGATGTGACCAGAGCTGGGGAAGTTCCTCCAACATTTTGTTTTAAGTGTCAGACCTCCAGCATCCACAGGACTTTCCTGATGGAATCAAAGATGTTCATATTCCTCGGGCCATGAATAACTAACCCCCCCCCCCCCCCCCCCCCCACCCCGCACCGGCCCACTCACCCCCAAAACCCCACTTTTGGAGAATTCACGCGGTCAGTACATCACCAGCCCGGCCTCCTGCCGAATGAAGGTTGGGCCAAACTCACTGACCCAGTCCAGCAAGTGACCGCACTCTCTGTCCCGGTCCAGGACGGCTCCACTTCCCCTCCACCACAGCCCGCACAAGAGTGCCGGTATCCATGGAGACCGGAAGAACGGCAGACGCTGGAAGCTGGAGTCAATAAATGTGGAGCTGGAAAAGCACAGCTGGTCGGACAGCATCCGAGGAGCGGCGAAGTCAACATTACAGGCTGAAACCCTTCACCCACACCCGGTATCCATGGAAACCACCACCGCCGCCGCCCGCACCATGTCCTGCTGGCGGTCACATCCCGCAGGGTCAAAGGTCGACCGCCCGTTCCCGAATGTTATTGCAAAACTGATGCCGGGATAAAGTTGTGGGGCGTCCTCTTTCATTAATCCTTCAAAAATAAAAATTGCATGGAAAATCTCAGCAGGTCCGGCAGCATCTGCGGAGAGTGAAGCAGGGTTAACGTTTCAAGCCCGGTGACCCTTAATCTGAAATTCTTCAGCACGGTCAGGAGATCTGAAACGTTCAACTTTGTTTCCCTCTCTCTGCTTGTGTTTTTCTAGCTTTTAGTTTCTGGTTTCTGGCATGGGCACTTCTTTGTTTATTTTTGTTTTTGATTACCCAGACACACTGACACGCCCCTCTGTTTAATATTCATAAAGTAGCCGCCCCTTTATTAATAATCCATTGATTTCCACGCCCCCTTCATTAACATTCATCGTGGACCGCCCCTTTATGAATAATAACGAAACACCGCCCTCTCGATGACGAAACTAAAAGGCTCCGCCCTCTCACTGTTAATACTCACGAAGCACCGCCCTCCAGGTGATGAATATTTAGGAGACCCCGCCCATCCGCTCATGAATATTCAGTGTCCCTTCCCACTCGGTCCGCTTGGTGTCATGGCGGTTGCTGTGCTGTGTCGGTTGCCGGGCCTGCTCGTTGTAGGAAGCGGCGCCTTGTGGCGGCCGGTGCCCTGGTCTCCTCATGCTGTGGGTGAGTTGATGAAGGTTCCTGTGGTCGGGGCTCCGGGGCCCCGGGGCCCCGGGGCCAGTCCGACTGTGAGAGAGGGACACGTTTGGTTTGAAGCCTGAGCTGGTGGCCCCTGGGCTTGGGGGGTGTTGGGGGAGGGGTTAGGGTGTCCAGGGTAAAAGCCCTTCAGTTCGCATTGGGAATTCGAGCTGGGCTGGGGAGCATCTGATGACCTGAGCCCTCCTGCTTTCTTAACGTTGTACTGCCTAATTGTCATGGGAAAGTCACTGTATCCAACAGGTAGACCCTAGCCCCTAAGTGGAGAAATATCTATGATCAGTCAGACCCATACTAATCCCTGGAATGCCATGATGTCTGCACCTTTCCATATTTTAGCTAACTGTCAGTATCAGTGTTTCATGGAAAGATTATCTCTGTGAGCCCTGGTGGCTTTTTCCCATGCAATCCTGCGCCATTCCCCCTTGTTAATTATGCAACCAGCCCCCATGGCACCTTCCTGTTGAGTCTTGCACTGGCTGAGATGGTAGTACCGCTGCTGTCAGCGCTTTCTGCTGCTCGCATCACTTCTCGGAAGTAGATGGCCAAGTATCGGAAGTTGGCACCTTGCTTTGTGGACAGGGTGGTGGAGAATGATGACTGTCCTCTTCCCTTAGGTGCTGTACCCTGTGAACATAATTGGAATACTAGGCTGGGTCAGTGTAGTGTGCATGACCCAGAGCAATGCTGCAAAGTGGCTAGCCAAGTTTGTGCTTTGCGAGAGTAAGTGACACCATTTTCTCTGCTACCTTGCACTCACTCTAAGTCAGCCATTGCACACTTTTCACAAAGGCTGATGGTCTACAATTGTCACTAGGCAGCATCTTAAATTCAATGACTCTCACCCACATCATTCTCCTAAAGTATGAAGTCTTCCTATCCTATGCATTCATTTGAGAACCATCCCACCTTTCCTGCAACTGCACCATCAGTAACAGCTCTGTTTTGTGCATCCCCACCCTGCGTCTGTCCTGATTATCTCATTCAAGACATGCTCCTTTATAAATGGGTCAAAAGGGCAAAGACAGGTGGCTGGGTAACTGACATTCATCTCCTCAGCCAGCATAAGCAGAACATAATTGAGTCAGTGGGAGAGGGACAAGACTGCCAGGATACCTGGTGCAGATCTCTAAGATGTGGTAATACTGATCACTGGTGAAGTAGATCTTGATTGAGCAAATCTTTTTCTGCCTATGAATTAAGCTCTGTTATAAAATGGTGCTCAGTGATAGTTTAAAGAGCCTTCACCGAGGTAAAACCAGTGATGTTTGCAAATCCCAAAGAGATGAAGTGATGAGATCTTGCACAAATTGAATTGATAATATCCTTGATTGGTTTTTGTGAGATGAGGTCTGGGAGATTCCGTGCAGATTCCCAATGAAAGCTTGGAGCAAGCCAGTCACACACATGTTAAACATCAGTCTCTGGGATGGTATGGTATGCACAACTACAGGTCCTGCTCCAAGTGATATCTCAGTTCTCCTGTGGGTTCTTAGGACATCCTTAGTGTGTTGCTGCACTGAACTTCTATCATCTGGAGGAAATGACAGCTAGGCTGTAAGTTCTTGGCCTTTTAAATGTATCATATATGTTGTGGCACCAATTCATTTGGATATTGTGATGGTGATAGCGGTGCCACTTGCTTCCCCCCCACCTACGCTCTCCTCCCTGCCCATCAGGCACACAGCAACATTTCAAATAAGGATCCATGTTCGTACATTCTTGTGCTTCCACTTGAGAGGAGAGCAGCCCCCATGTTCCTGCAGCAGTGGGATGTATGGAAGGTATTTATGAATTGAAGAGTGCAAGTGCCACTTAAGATGGTTTTCAATCATTTCTGCTTCACAAAGCTTGGTTGGATGAATTTGTCATGATTGACATTTGCATGATTACTTGTGACTGACATTTGTAATGTGTAACAGTTGTTCACTGCATGAGCTGCACATGCACAGTAATTTGATGCTAAATGTATGTCATCATTGAATTTATGGAAGCCTGATCAAAGCAAGTGCCTCCCATTGCCCACAAAGTATACCTGGCCCCCTCAGATGAGATGAAATAAAACAAACTGACACCATCCTCATGCATGCTCAAAGCCACTTTTCATCTTATAATTGTGCAGCTGAGATTTGGAGAAAATAGAAGGTATTGAGATTGCACTCCTGAGACTGAATTCCAAGCTCTGTCTAAAAGTTAAAACAATTTTTGTGCCCTTGGGTCTTGATAAAGCTGTGCTGTGGGGCACACAGATGAGGGGCAATGATTCGTTTGATTTGGATTAATGGTATCAATAATCGAGGTGACAGAGCAGTTAAGCAGGGTAACAACACCAGAGCTATCATGGTGGCTGGAGAGCCAAAGGAATCAAAATCTGGAATTGGAGAAAGCATTTGAGAAAACTACCAATGTTTTTTTGAGGTGAGGGAAATCCGAATAAAGGAAGGAGAGGATTGATATTAGACGAGGAAATAATGAAGTCAGAAATAACTTTCTCAGTGATTCAAGATCCAGCGGCATCTGAAAGATAACTAAAACTTACCAGGGATAGTAGGGACTGCTGATGCTGGAGTCTGAGACAACAAGGTGTGGAGCTGGATGAATGCAGCAGGCCAGGCAGCATCAGAGGAGCAGGAAAGCTGACATTTCAGGTCTGGGCCCTTGTTCAGAAATGGGGGAGGGAAAGGGGGCTCTGAAATAAATAGGGAGAGGGGGAGGCGGTGATAGGTGATTACTTGTGAGCAACATTTGTAATGTGTAATATTTGTTCACTGCATGAGCTGCATATGTACAGTAATTTGATGCTAAATGTATGTCATCATTGAATCTGCGGAAGCCTGATCAACGCAAGTGCCTCCCGGAATGACCTCCCATGGATCACAAAGTATACCCGGCCCCCTCAGACGAGATGAAACAAAACAAACTGACACCACCTTTGTGTGTGCCACCTTCTATCTCTGCCCCCCCACCTCTATTTATTCCAGAGGCCCCTTCCCCCTCCCCCATTTCTGAAGAAGTGTCCAGACCCGAAACGTCAGCTTTCCTGCTCCTCTGATGCTGCCTGGCCTGCTGTCTTCATCCAGCTCCACACCTTATCTAAAACTTACCAGGGTTAGGCTTGGAGAGTGAACATGAAGGATGAGATTGAGAAGAACGTGACAGTAGTGAAATCTGAGGAGAGCTGCTTTTGAGAATTTAAGTGTAGGTTTAAATCAATGAGGAAGAGAGGCTGAAGAAAGAGTGGATGAAGAATATTTTGGGAAAGAAGTTAGCATTGGAAAACAATAAACTGATAGTTTTGAATAATACATGAAGGATGAAAAAGGGTAAGGTGCCAAAGTGAGTTGGAGACAGATGGTGGTGAGGTATAGTGACAATATAAAGTAATGAAAGTTGTTTAAGTAAAACAGATTTGTGGGCATCGGTATTTTTATTGGGGGCTGAAATTCCTATCCTTGGACGTGGCTCAGCTTTCTTATGTAGGTTGATGCGGTTATGATGTCACCTGGCTAAGGATATGCTGGATCACTGCTTTTATCCCACTTTCCAAATATTTTTTTCATGAAAACATCATTGAAAGATGTTAGTCTAGCCAGGTCTGATGACATCATCCTGAAAATTTCCACCAGTCCCATTTAACTTAGTTGAACCTCACAAAAGAGCAGTTTCTTCTAAATTAGAAGGCCAATTCTCTGTGGTAGTTGATTGTGGAAGATTTGCTTGGAATCTACCAAATTCAGAAACTGGGCAGTACAAAAATATTCACAGCTTTAGCTAACGTTGTCATTTATCTGGATTGTGGCTCAGTGCAGCAGTAAAAAATTAGCCTCAATAACAGTTTTCTCCCTCCACAAAGAGTCTCTTTCCATGCTGTATGTTTCTATGACTCGCCTATCTGCCAACGTAATATTGGCATCTTCATAGACCATGCCCTTCTTGGACATTTGGGGAGCAGAGGATGGTGTGCAGGGCATGTCAGCAGTGTTGAGAGAGAGTTGGAGAGGTAAGGGGAATATAAATGATGCATCATTGATCACAAAGTATACCTGGCCCCCTCAGATGAGATGAAACAAAACAAACTGACACCACCTTTGTGCGTGCCACCTTCTACCTCTGCACCCCCCCCAACCTCTCTATTTATCAGGAAGTCCTGATTCTCCCTCAAGTTGGAACAGGGATTTCTAGAGCTGCAAAATTAACCATAATTTACATTCTTGAATAAACTGTGAAATATGAATGTTGACTGCCACCATAGCTATTCAGCGCTCTGTTTCGCTGGTTTTATGAGGGAGTAATTGCTGTTATTTTTAAATATTGCTTGTTCATCAAAACATTTATCCAACAGAATTTTAATTCACGTACATGGCGGATTGCCATTCTCTCAAAATTTTAATGCACTATTCTGCTTTAACTGAATTTCCACTGAAAATGTTGACCCAGTTGCACAAGTTTTATTATTGTTTGTATTTCATAAGCCTTGTTGCTTTGCTTCAAGCATTTCTGTGCTGCATGAGCAAGATCAGCTGATGGAAGCTCTTGTGACCCAGCCAATTTTCATTAACTGTCAAGCAGGCCCATTAATTGTACAAATACTAAAGGTTGCACTGTTATAAATAACATGTTAGTTGCCAAGAACATAGTCTTGTTGCTTTGAAGAGTATTGTTCTTTTTTTCTGATATCTTCCCTTAGAATCTGCAACTTTGCAATTCATGTCTCGCTGAACAGCTGAGAACATAATATAGTATGACATTTCAACGCAATAATGAAGACTTTGTTGTCACAGTTTCTGGTTTCAGATGGGGCGTAATACCTAGCTCCCATCTTTAGGCAATTGTTGATTCAAAACCGACCCATTACCAGTATTGGGAAAAGTGAGAGTAGCATTGTCATGATCTTTACCTATGGTAATAGATCACCACCTTGCATGCTCTTATCATCTTGCTCTCTTACTTTATCATGTCTATTCAATTTAACACGTCATCCCAAACATGATCCCTTGCCCCCGTGCTTTACTTTAAAGCCTTCTGTATCCATTCCCTCCCTTCGATCTGATTGACTCGGCAGCCAGCCAGCTTCTTTCCTTATTGCTAGATGCTGAAGGTAATGCCAAATTCAATGGCACTTTGGAGTAGAGGAAATTTACATGTTAGAACCCATTTAAATTTTTAAATGGAACTTTTCTAATTCTGTGTTGTGCACTGTCTATTGTCAGCTGACTCTAAAATTTAAGCCTTTGTGTGAAAGAAGAAACAACGTTTAGTCGCTTGTTGAAAGGGAGAAAGTATGTAATAGGAGTTGGAGATGGGCACACTAAGAGCAATGAGAAAAAGTAAGATAAAGACAGGAAGAAGTAAAACTTAGATGCAAACAAAAACTAAGTGAAAAGGAAATGTTATGAGAAGATGGACTACATGGAGGTAAAAAAAATCTATTTCTAATATCATGAGCTATCAGGTAACAATAAATGTATAAAATTTTTCACTGATGTGGAAAGCATCAGGAGGCCCACCCATCCATGGGGCAAATAATGGCCATTTTGTAAGGGCTGTTGCAGGTAGCAGATTCCCTAAATAGCTCTGAGTCCATTGGCGAGACTCCCAGGTTACCTTCCCCTCCTGACTGTCCACTCCAGCTACATACCTACCAGAGCTGGAGCGAGTTCACCCTTAACTTTTAAGCTGGAAGTGGGGATGCAATTAAATTCAATCCTTTGTCGCTTATCAGTGCATTTGAGCAGACTTTTATTTAACCCCTGTAAAGATTGACTGTCAATGTTGATCCATGTTTTGGTGTTCTAGGATGCTGTAAGAAATCAACCAAATACCTAGCTCGTCCAGATGAACCTAAGTTAGCATATAAGAAAATAAAAGGTAGAAGCCCAGGAGTCATTTTCCTGCCTGGTTTTGCCTCAACTATGAAGGCACAGAAAGGATTGGAGCTTGAGGATTTCTGCAAATCACTTGGGCATTCATATATAAGGTCTGTATGGAAATAGTTACAATAGAATCACATATTGCTCTTAGGAAAAGAAACAGCAATGTTTTGTTACATTAAATGTATTTTATTCCAAAATGAATGTTTGACCAATCTCAATTTACTGTTCAGGTACAGTATAGTTTCCCATCTTTTCTCTATTCTCTGCTGCAGTGATTTAAATTAGAACTAATGTCTCATGTGAAATAAAGTCGATGTTGTACAATACAGTTATGATTTCATTTGTAGTTTATTTTCTCAACTCAACTGTGTTCCAGAACAGTGGAAAGGCAGCAAATTGTGAGCTGTTCCATTTTCTTTTCTGAATAATTGGGAGTGTTTTTTTTTTGCAATCCCGCTCCAAAAAAAAATCAGTTGGTTATTGGAATTGAGTCTATGCAAGACAATTTCTAACATATGCCTAAAATGTAATGACATGTATTTTCTTCTTTTGTTCAGGATAGTGACTGAATTCAGTAATGGTAATGCCATTGAATATGAAAGGGTGATGGTCAGATTATCTGGCCCATGTATGGTGCACATGTTTCTTTGTCACATATCAGCCTAAGCATGAATGCTTGCACATCTGAAAAGTTGCACATATTGTGAGTGCTGGGTATTGTTCAATTATCAGCAATCATTCCTGCTTCCAATTTAATGATGGAGCGAACATTATTCCTGAAGCAACTAAGGATGATTAGGTCTAGGCCACCACCCGAGGAGCTCCTGAAACAATCTCCTGGGACTGAAATGATTTAACTTCCAACAACCCAACCGTCTTCCTTTGTATTGGATATTTCTCCAACCGTCTGAGACCTTCTTTTTTTTGTGATTCTCATTGACTTTGCCTGTTTAAAGTCACCATTGGTCAAAGGCTACCTTAATCACAAGTCAGTCTCACCTTGTCCATTTTTGGAGCAAGACAGATCAGGATCAGAGTAGCCCTGGTAGAACCCAAGCTGAGCATCAGGGAACAGTTTATTGCTGTGTAAATGCTACTTGACAGCACTGTCAATGATCATTTCCATCAGTTTGATGATTTGAGTGCATTGATTGGGTTTATTGAGCTCACATCACATAAGCCTGAGTCTATAAAGACAACGGATATTTTATTTTTTGTTTTAAAGTAGTATGGAATCTGGACAATTAGCCTTGATCCAGGATTGAGTCCAAGAGATTGGTTACATTTTGTGATTTCTGTATAGACTGGAGTGAACTTCTGTCCTAGAAAGTCATTAAAACAAATGTCTAAATGAATGACTCCCCATTGAAAAGACATTCAGGGTCCAAGATTACTTGTGGAGTTTACAGCACTTCCTTAAGTCATGACATGCTTGGTGTCTGCAAACTCAACCTAACAGAGAAGTTTAGAAATAGTCATTTAGCAGTACAAAGCTTGGGTATTGTTGCAAAAAGACTTATTTTGTCAAAGCATTTCACCTTGCACTCATCTTGACAGTTCATAAGAAATACCAAAGTGAAAGGAAAACAACATATTATATTGTGAGAGGAGAGTGCTGATTGGTTGGCAAGATGACTGTGATTGGTTGAGCCTTTGCTATGGAGGATGCACTAGTTAATGGTGACAGATAATTAACTGCCAAGTTTTGTTTAAGTTTTAAACCAGGCAGGTCATCTTTGATTCATTTCTCAGGGCAATGCCTTGACCAGAGAAAAGCCAAAACCTATTTTGTTGTGTTGAAATTGGCATAGTGTATGTTCTTTCTATTTGTAAAGAGCAGGGCCCTGTATATTAATATATGTAGCTTCCCAATGCAAGCAATTATAACATCTCTGACCCCAGCTCAACCTAACTTGGTTGTCAGTATAATTTTTCTCACACTCTGGCTTCTTTAGCAGATAATGTCCAATTGTGTCATCAGAATAATGGCCAAAGTGATTTCTGCAAGTGTGGGCTGGTTGACTATAGTCAACACCTTCCTTACGGCAAACAGTTGAAAGGATATATTATTTGATATGGTCACCATCTTTGAAATGCATGGCCTCCATACCTATCATCACACCAAACTGAAATTCATATTCTGCAATTCTCATTTGTGTAAAAGGCAGAATGTCTTTTCAGCTTAACTGCAGCATCCTGTTGGTGTTGAGCATCCCTCATGTTGCAACTACAAACAAACAGTGTGAAACATCTAACTTTACCTGCTGCTCAAACTTTCGAGATTAACTAATTCTTCCAGGGTTGAGGTAGACTGGGAACCTTTCAGGACCAGTAGTGAAGTTTGGAGAAACCGTTTTATCACAGGCAGCTGTCTTGCTGCCATTTAATGGTTTATTGTATCACAATGGCTTATGACATAGAATCATTTGTGTGAACAATAGAAATATTGATACTATAGTCATGTAATCAAACCTGACATGAGATATCAATTTGTACTATTCCAAAGTCTGGTAATTAACTCCCAGCAGTCCTGTCTAAATGTACAATCAGTGAACAGAGGGCTCATTTGTTTTCAACTACAATATTACATCACTTCAAATACATGCTCGGTGACAACTTTGCATGAAAATACAGAAGCTTCTAACCTCCAGTTATCTTCAAAGAAACAGTGGGAAATCCTTCAGGCTTGCAGCATTTTCATCTTGTAGGATGTGAGATTTGTTTCTTGTTATTTAGTTAATAATCTCTGTTCAAGTGTTATCTCTAGAACTCGTGTGTTTCTGTGTCTGTGTTTTGAGGGAGAGAATGTTTCATTATGTTCACATTTTGGGTGTTATGTAAAGTAAACTTTTTTCTTTTGTTTTAACTTTGACAGCTTGTTTATGTCAGTCCTTAAAGTGACAATATTCAAACCAGAACTAGTTCTGAAAGTAAATGTTGTTGTAAACAGCCAAGAGATGATGCAAAAGGAGAAAAAATGTCTCACAGGTCACTTGGATTTGGCATACTGTTTGTGCATGGGATATAGCTGAGCAATTTTCCTGTGTCTGGTAGATGCTAAAAGAGAAATTAGGCAATAGGAGGGACTGAAATGGGAAATAAATAATATAGGCAATGGGGGAAAATAAACGGTAGGCTTTCTGTAATCACAAATTGTGTACCAACAATTAGAAGATGTACTAACTACTAGAAGATGTGAACGTCTGGGTAATTGGGTAATTGGTTAATATAGTCATGTGTATTAGTTCAAATGTGATTGGATAACGGAGTCTAGTCGGAGGAAACAAAGGGTTAAAGTCACCCTTTCGGGGGCCAGTATTCTAGCTATATTTGAATAGCTTAGCATGAAGATTATAAATATCTGAAGCACACATTTTTACTATGATGGCCAGAATATTGTCAGGGCCCATAGTCTTCAGGAATAAAAAAGCTGAAGGATGGGTTACTGTTGATGGGCTGAATGCGGCCATGTGAATGTTGGGAATATTAGGATCTGGGATTCAATGCTGTGTGGGCAGGGTGTTGTGCTTCCAGACTCTACATGTTTAAAAACTTGGTGACTTGTTATAATTTCTTTGGGAAGTAAGAATTTACTTCTGCAAGAGTGCAATCTGGGACGCAATGGCTGAACCTTTATTAGGCTTAAATAAACGTTGAAATGTAATGAGCACAGTCAATAATAAATATATTTTACTTGGGGCAATTTCAACAAGCTAACGCGTAGGAATAGATGAAATATGTTGGGAAGAAAAGATAGAAAACAGGTCAGTACACAAATCGTGAGAGATGTTTAAATTGGACATGACTAGAAAATTAAGTTTTAAGTACACTTGACAGAGATACATAAATGCTATGATTAACACACATACTTGCATACAATACGCATGGAAATAAAATCAGATAAATAAATGCATACATACACCTACAAGCAATGCAAATGTAAGAACATTGATAACTGGTGGAAGTACTTACAAATGTGGCCAAAATTAAGATTTATAGTCCAATTCATATGATGACAAAAACAGTGATCTAACTAATAGAATAATACAAATAAATACATGAACGTGATTTTAAAAAAAACTCCCTCCCTCGTTTTAAGAGCAAAATGCTGAGACTGCTGGAACTCTAAAATAAAAGCAGAGCTTTCTGGATGCACTTAACAGGATTGGCACTCAGTCTGTGACCTTTCACCACAACTTCTGATGAATGATTACAGACTTGAAACGTTATTTCTGTTTCTGCCTCCACAGTGCTGTCAGATCTGCTGATTATTTCCAGCACTTTCTGTTTTATTCCTGTACTCTCCTAGCATCCGGTGTATTTTGTTTCTGGTTCATTGGCCTCTAACCAGAAAACATGACACTGATCCCCTCCTCTCGGGACCGGTTCAAACACTGATATAACAAGTAGGACTTGTTCGACTTCATTTTTGTGAAGCATTTTGATTTGCATTAATACAAATTTTGTAACGAGTTCTGGCCTTGTTAAGAAATAACTAAGTTGCTGTTACCATTTAGAAATCAATAGTTAGTCTACATTTATTTTTGTTTTGGGGGAGTGAAGCAATTCATCAATCTTTTGATTTTTAAGCGTTTGGTTTATCAGCTGTGTAGCAATAGTTTAGACATCTCTCCCGATATAACATTCAATAATTTTGTCTTTTAAAGTGATTTTAAAAACCTGAAACTTTGTCTTGTGTTTTACAACATTTTGGTTTTATCCTTACAAGGTTTGACTATTCAGGATGTGGTGCGTCCGAAGGAAAGTTCAGTGAGAGTACAATAGGACAGTGGAGGAAGGATGTTTTGGCTGTGCTTGATGAACTCTCAGAAGGACCACAAGTAAGATTTTATGGCCAAACTATTGGGAACAGACTTGTTTTGCAATAGGTTCAAAGGTACATGGTGAGAATTTCCATTGACTGTAACTGTAAAAGGCAAGTGTTCATATTGCCAGCTGCTGTCTAATTGGGTATGTAGAAAACAGTAAGGGTCAACTTGTACTTCGAGATGATGACTACCAAACTGTAAAAATGTTATCCGTGTCAGGAAAAATTGGCTGTCTGACAAATTGTTGCTTTACACCATCACTGTGGTTCATAAATGTGACATTTCTGTACCACATGTGCCCAGCATGTTTTGGAACTCTACCATTTGTAACTTGATATCATATTCAATCCCAAGATGAATTTTTGACCCATGTATCTTGTCTAGCACAAAGATTGCACATTTCTACCTTGGTATATCTGCTGATGAAACTCTCATCCCTCTTCATCTCTGAACTGACTGTTCTAATGCCTTTGTGGCATATCTCCCAGGTTATGTTCAGTCATCTAAAGTTTTCTTTCTTGTAAAGAAAGAGTTTTTATTTGATATAGCACTTCTTGTGACCACCGGATGCCCAAAGCACTTTACAACCAGTGAATTACTTTTGAGCTGTCGCTACTGTTGTAATGTAGGCAACACAAGGGTGAGTTGTGTACAGTAAACTCTCTCAAACAAGAGTATGATTCCATCCAGATCATCTAGTTTTGTGATGTTGATCGAAGAATTATTGGCCAGGACACATGGCATAACTCAGGATAAGGAGTTTTGATGAATGCTCACAGACCTGAAATGTCCAAGAATACTGCGCTGGAGTGTCAGTTTGGATCATTACTTCCAAGTCCTGACTTAGAACTTGACTGAGGTGAGAATGTTACAAACTGGCCCATGAATACATTGCATCCTAGACAAAGCCTCACTTAGCCTTCACCTCTGTCTTGCTGACTGCAATTGGCTCACATCCAGCAATGCCTTTAATTTAAAGTTCTCATCCTTGTGATCACAGTTCCTCATGGCCTTGTTGCTCTATATCTCAATAATACTGTCCATTCTTCTGACTGTAACATTGTGAAAACCGCTTTGCTTCAATATTTTACGATCGAGAATGTACCTGCTACCCCCCACTCTTTCTTTCCTTTGAAATCATCCTGAGAAGCCCCTTCTGGCCAAATGTTTAATCACTACTCCTAATTTTACCTCCTTTAGTCCTGCATCCATTTTCTTTTAATTCAGTCATATAATGTAGGCATCTCTGAAGCCAACATACATTGTTCATTCCTAATTGCTCAGGGAAGGGTGTAGGAGAGCAATATTCTTGAAACACTGCAGTCCATGTGATGTGGCTACATGCCAGTAATGTTAGGAATCCCAACCACAGTAAAAAGCCTGCCATATAGTTTCAAGTCAGAATAATGGGTGGCTTGGAGGGCAGCTTGCATGTGGTAGTGGTGTTCCTACAAACCTGCTGCCATTTTTCTTCCAAGTGTTAGAAGTCACAGGTTTGGAAGGTGCAGGCAATGGACCAATTTGAAGTGTAACTTGAAGATGGTGCATGTTGCTGCAGTTGTGCAGTGGTGAGGGGAGTGAATGTTTTAACATAATGGATAGGATTCCATTCAAGTGGATTGCACTGTCCTGGATTGTATTGAGCTTGTTGAGTATTTCTAATGGTGCACTTATCCAGCCAATTGGAGAGTATTCCATCACACGGGAGTCCAAAGCTAGAGGACATCGGTTTAAGTTGAGAGGGGAAAGATATAAAAGGGACCTAAGGGGCAACCTTTTCACACAGAGGATGGTGCGTGTATGGATAGAGCTACCAGAGGAGGTGCTGGAGGTTGGTACAATAATGACATTTAAAAGGCATCTGGATGGGTTTATGAATAGGAAAGGTTTAGAGGGATATGGGCCAAATGGGACCAGATTTATATAGGATATTTGGTTGGCAGGGATGAGTGGGACTGAAGGGCCTGTTTCCATGCTCTATATCTCTGACACTCTGACTGTTGACTTGAGCTGAAAATGATGGGCATGCTTATGGGAATCAAGTGGTGTGTTAGTTACTCCAGAGTTTCCAGTTGATCAACAGTAAATTCTAGAATGTAAATGAATTTAAGCAGTAATAGTGCCATTGATTGTCAAGGGACATTGATTAGATTCTCTCTTTTTGGAGATGGTGACTTTAGTAATTGAGCAGCACATATTATTTCCCCCCCTCCCCCCAATTTATTTGCCAACCCATTATTGTGACGTGGACATGAACTGATTCATCATCTGAGGAGTTATGAATAGATTGCTATACTTTACATTCAATAAAGAGCATTTCCATTTCATATCCTAATGTGAAGGGAACATCATTTGAAGTAGATGAAAATAGTTGGTTCTTCAACCTACACAGTCATCTTCTTTGTGTTAATGTAACTCCAGTTAGTGAAGAATTTTGCCCTGATTTGAATTAAATGCAATTTTACGAGGGATCCTGGATGCTGCCTTGAGTTCGGGGCCGTCAGTTTTGATTTGCCTCTTGAATTCACCCCTTTTTGTCTTTGTTTAGGCCAAAGTTGTAATGGGATCTGGAGCTGAGTGGCCCTAGCAGGGTCTGAAATGAGCATCCGTAAGAAGATTTGCTGTGAAAGTGTCACATGATAATATTGTCTATTATATCTTGCATTGCTTTGCTGTTGATTAACAGACTGAAAGGGCACTCGTTGCTTAGATTGGATTGTCATGCTTTTTGTGGAAGGGACATACTAGGGCAATCTTCCACTTTATTGGATTGTTGTCAGTGTTGTTGTTGTGCTGGAACATCTTGGTTAGGAATGCAGCTAACTCTGGACTGCACGTCTGAGATGTTGTTGGGGCCAAAAGTATCCCCTTTGCCAGATCCACTGCCTTCAGCTGTTTCTTGATATTGTGTAGAATAATCAAATTGGCTGAAGACATCTATGATGCTGGGTTGGATCTTTCATTATGCATCCATGTGTTATGGGTAAATAACCACAAGTTACTTTTAATTCGGCTACTTATTAAGAAATCTTACAGACAATCGAGTAGTGAAACTGGTATAAACGTCATTGCCCTTAGCAACCGAAATAAGACCCCTTAAGAAAGCAAGGTAAGTCTTGCAACTCAACTTGGCTATTATCCGATTATTGGTGGAACTTGACCACGATTCCAACCAACAGTGTCTGTCTCTGGAAGTGTCCAAGGTTTGATCCTTTTGCAGTGTTGTTCTTTGAAGTTCTGCTAAAGGGGGAATCTGGTGTTTAATTCTTAAACAGATTTTCATCCTCCAGGTCTAGGTGTGATATTATTGATGTTTTTTTTAAAAGTCCTTTCATCCAAATTATTGTAAGTCTGCAGCTTATCTTATCAACAGAAGCAGCTTATTTGTTCCTTATCAAATTTGGCCTTTACTGTCTGTTTGAAGACACCATTTTCCTAAACTAACTCTTTAAATTCTGGCATTCCGTTATCCTCGTAGTGTAAAGCAGCTCGTTATCAAGCAGATGTCAAAATAGTTTTGTTCATGCAGTTTTAACTCCCTCTTTTCCCCAGACATGGCTAATTGCTTTCAATTCCTGTATAAGTTTGTTCTTGTCCTTTATTAGTTTATTCCAGACATAGTTATTGCTGCTGCTTGTTCATTCAATCCATAATCACTTATTAAAGTTCTGATATCTGTAATATCACACCTGGTTGAGATGTCGCAAAAGCTTTAGCCTTGTCCCTTAATCTTTAATATGCTAAACACTGATGTGGTTGTTTATGGAGCTTGGTCCAGTTATTTGTTTAATTGTTCACCATCATTCATAACTGTGACAGGACTGCAGAGTTTTGACTTAATTCATTCATGCCTGACTTAGCTCTGACCATGACATGCTGCTTCCACTGTTTAGCGTGCAAGTACTCGTGTCTTGTAGTTTCATCCAGTTAGTACAATCTTTGGTATGCATGGTACTGCTCCTGTCATGTCTTCCCACACTTATTGAAATAGCGTAGTTTCCACGTTTTGATTGTAATTGTAACATGAAGGATATGCCAGGCCATGGGATTACAGATTGTGATTGAATACAATTCTTCTGTTTCTGATGAGCTGCTGGATCTGAACTTAGTCTAACACAGTGTTAGTACCACACAACATGGAGAGTGTGCTCAGTGTGAAGAAGGGACAATATATCCATAGAGACTGTGGGCAATGGTCACTCCTATAAGTGTTGTCAGTAATAGATGCGTATATTGCAGGTATCCTGTCATTTTTCCCCCTTGTGAAAAATATTGAGAAAATTAACACGTGTAGTTCATTCCTACTGCATTCTACCACTTTGTCCATAATGTTACAGCTGAACCATTTATATTGGTGGATGTTGAAGTCCACCACCAAATGCACATTCTCTACCTGGCATCACTGAATTTTAATAGTACAGAAGGAGGCCATCAGGCCATTGTAGCACAGACCTTTTAATTCGAGCACATTCTCAAATGTTAATGAGAAGAACTTTGCAGACTCGACTGGACACAGTGAACCTCCGAACTGGTGCCAAAGTCAACGCTAGGTGTACCATGCAATTTTACTCTTATTCAACATTTGTTGTAATTTGATGTAATCGATGGCATGCTTAACTATTTCTGAAACAATTGAGAAAGAACCACATCAATGCAAGTCTGAGGCACACGTAGACCAGACCTGATAGAGGTACATTCCCTTCCCTGAAAGAGACCAGTAAACCAAATAAATTTTTCAGCAATCCTTCCAGGTTTAGTTCATACATTTTAAATTCCCTGTGATTTGATTTGACTTAATGGCTGTAGATCGTAAGTCATCAGGTTTTTGGATTACTAGTTCAATAATATTACCAGTATGCCAAAATGCTCATAAACGTTCCCTTACATTCACCCACAGGATTTGGACGTCACTGGCTGGCTCAGCATTTATTATCCATCCCTAATTACTCTTGAGTAAGTGATGGTGAACTGTCGTCTTGAACCTCTGCAGTCCATTTGGTCCCTTGCAACTTTCCTAGTATCAGTTATATATTATTCCTGTTACTCTATTCATTTATTAACTCACTTATTAGCTCCAAGTCAGTAACTGGAAATTGCATGATCTCCTTATCCCTCCAATCAGAATTTGCTGTCCGCCTCCCCGCAAAACCACAATCTAAGCCTGCAGTGCGATCTGAAGTGATCATCTTAGCTTTAGCTCTTTACTTAGAAGTGGCTCCTGAAAGGAGAGAGAGGACCTAACTGAAGAGATCTCTCAATAAAGTCTTTTTAAGAACATATAATGCAAGGTTTTAAGATGATGTGGAGGTGACAGTGTTGGATAGGGGTGGACAAGGTCAGAAGTCACATAACACCAGGTGATAGTCCAACAAGATTATTTGAAATCACAAGCTTTCGGAGCACTGCTTCTTTGTCAGGTGGGCTCCTACAACTACTAATAAACTAGCTGTGTTTCAAAAGATAAATGAGCAAAATACTGTCTCCTAATCATTTATCAGTTGCCCTGCCAGACCTAGCTGGTTTAATGAACTCTCTGAACTGCTCTCGTCCACTGCTCACACGGCAGTCTCATTCATTTGCTGTCTTCTAATTTGCTCAGTAGGATTATTCCAGATACCAGTCAACTTTGGAAGATCACAATAAATACATCCGTTGTTTGTGCAGTCATTTCTTTAAAACTCAAGGATGTAAGCCAAAAGGTCCCAGAGATTAGGATTTGTTTACTTTCAGTCCCTGTTCAACTGTAGCTTCACAGATTCCTTCTGCAATCTGATCCATCGTGACAGAATTGCTGCTCCGGTTATTTCTTGACACTGAAGAGAATGGGTCATAGCTGGAGGCAGACTCATTTATAGGAGTCACTGTTAACCTCAAGTCTTACTAAGGTACTAGATTAAGAGTTTGAGTTGTTAGGACATCACCCTTCTTCTATGGCTTACCCCTATAGCTGTTCATCAGAGCTAATATATGACTCTTCTTCTTGGCAAGCTGACAGCTTGGTTTGCCTTCCACTTAGATGGCTGCTAGTGCCCAGCACATTGCATCTGGGGGTTCCATTTGATCCTGTGTGCACAATATTATCCAGTTTATGCACAGTTCTGGTCTTTGAGCTGTTCATTGTGACACTGGTAGTAATTGACACAGTACTTACTATCTTGTTGTCTTCCTGTTCCATGGTGTGTGGCTGTACCTCCTTTTCCATTTCCTTCGGGAGGAGTCAAAGTGGATATTGCTCCTGCAAATCTGAATCTAGAAGAGTTAGGGTGCAGTGTATCTGGCCACTGTAGGACCATGTTTCCGATAGGATGACCTGATGCTTGAACATGAGGATTGTTTAGGAATTAGGAATCGGGAATAAATATGAATAAGAAAAAGAATGCCCACGTACGTCTTGGTAAAATGTCCCTGCACTACCTGTAACAATGGTAAATGTGTTGTGTTGCCACAGAAGATAAAAACTGAAGATTATGAATGAGTATTGAATGGTGTTTGTGTGCGTGTCTTCTGGGATATCTCGTGTGTAAAGAATCATAGTGTACGTCTAGTATGAGTAAAGCCTGAAATGAATTTATTACTGTTGGTTATTTGAATATTTTTGTAATCTTAAATGGTAAAAGTTTGTTGAGATTGTGGTGCATTTATTGAGAAGTGTGTTTGAGGATGGGACCTTTTGCCATTTGTGTCAAATAGTTCAATTTTTCTACAACGCTGTAGTGGTATCATGTGCAGGGCTCCTAACTGCCACCGTCTCAGCAATCTCGTCCCACATAATATGCAACGTCATTTGCACATCCTGCGATTACAGGGCATTCCTCCTCCTTTGTACTACTTCCACTAGGGCCTTCAGTGCCATATCCAGGAACCTGTGAGCACTCCTTCAGACCTTGAGCCATTCTGAAACCTGCCATTGTCTCTAAGCTGATACACTTCACACATTCAGAAGAAATGTGAATATCCCACTCCTACATTAAAATTGTTCCTAATCATCTTGTCCATTTTACCTCCTCTAGGCAAGTCTAAAATGTAGAAATCGCCAATTAGTTTACAAATTGCAAGCAAAAATCAAATATTAAACAATGTATATTATTAACATAGTACCCCCCCCCCATGCCTCTTTTCATTCATTTCCTAAAATAGCCCTCTTAAACCCCTCTCTTTGATAATTAGACAGTTGGGAGAGAAATATGAATGAATGTATCTTATTCATCCTGAATAGTAAATGCATTTTTTTTAATAGGTTCTGGTGGGTTCCAGTTTGGGTGGATGGCTGATGCTCCTAGCTGCAATATCACGCCCAGATAAAATAGCTGCACTTGTTGGCGTAGCTACAGGGGCTGATTATTTGGTAAATGCTTTCAAACAGCTTCCTTTGGCGGTAAGTGCAGTGCATTTTTAACTTGGACTCTCTAATTATTTTTGCTTCGTATGATTGTTTGATATCCATAAACTCTTAATATGTTTTTAAGCTTAACAGTTCATCTTTGTCCTTTCTCCTCCTTCACACTATCACACCTCATCCAGCTGAACTAATGGCTTTTGAACATGGTAAAGTCAGAACAATCGCACCTTTCAACTAAAACATTGCAAAATAAAGAATAATTGCTAATGAGGCTAACTCACCAAGGCCGCCTTCAGCTGCTTTCACCTACTCTCGTATTCCAGTTCCTTTTTCAGTAAATGCTAATGTTCCATTTTACTTCCAAATTATTCACTGTACCTTCAAAATAACCTTTTGTGATTCATCTACCAGGATATGCAGATTGCTCCACATCTCTGATCTGACAGATGGATTCAAATTTATGTGGAATCTTACCAGATAGGGAATAGATAGGGAGGAAATGTTGCCACCAGTGACTGGATTGAAAACCAGTGAGAACAGATTTAAATTAATTAGTAAAAGAACCAACAGTGTTATGACACAGACAGACTAAATCAGTCTAAAATATACATTTAGCCAAACTATATCAGCCTTTCTGCCTCTGCATTTGCTACACAGTAAAATTAAACCTTCAAAGACCCTCAAATAGTGACTCCTGTGGTCCCTAACAAAACTTTTGAATGGCCAATCCTAGGCTTTGCAAATAATTAATTTCCAGACCCATTGGTTTGTATTTTAAACACGGGGCTTAACTATTTTTTAAATGCACTACAACTTTAGCAGAGAAAATTAAATTACATGGTAAGCTGAAAAATGTCTATGCTTTCAACTCGACATTTGTTTTCAGCCCCTTTCACATAAACAGAGTTAAGCGTTAAATAAAACAAAATAGAAAACTGGTCAAATTACTTAAATAGCTTTCACAATGCATTGTTTCCCAGGCATAGATGTGGACTCATGGTGCTTTTCTGAAATGTCAATTAGGATTACCTTAGTTCACCCAGGCAAAGACAGCAATATTTCTAACTCAGCTTTCTATTGTTTGGACTTCTGGAAGCTGGTGTAGCTGATTAGGCAGGGAGCTTTCAAATCTTCGTGCTGCCCCATTAGCAGTCCAAAAGCCATCTCTCAGAAAACAAAGTTTAAAACAAAACAACTTTAATTCTGTTTCCACCCTGATAGGCTGATCAACTCTTCACAAAGCCTCAATTACCATTCCACAGCTGCCACATGCTTGAACATTGGGTCTCTTCCAGACTTGCTAGAACCAATTCCCAGTTACTGACCTCATTAATAGCCAACTCCTGCTACCAGTTTGAACATAGTGCTTTTGCTAGGGTCAGTGTGTCTGTTGGAACCCCTTTTAATCAGAAATCAATTCGCAATCAGCTGCCAGGCTTGGTCTCTCAAAAAAAGCATGTTTGGTCTGTTCTTTTCCTTTTATCACAAGCTGTTCCAAAGTCCACAAGTCATTTCCAGCTGTCAGTTCAAAATTGATCAAAAGAATAAAAATAAAAAATCCGCAAGGGTTCTAACAAAAATCAAATGAGGAGAAAAGGCTTTCACACAAGTAGTTAGGGTCTGGAATGCAATGCCTCAAAATATAATGGAGGCAGGTCCTTTTGAAACATTCAAAGGAGAATTAGACATTTATTGGAAAAGGAAGAATGTGTAGGGTTACAGGGCGGAGACAGGAGAATCGCACTAAGTGAGATGCTTGTTTGGAGAGCCAGTGCAGACACAGTGGGCCGAATGGTCATCTGTTATAACAATTTAATGATTCTGTGAGCTCCACGTTCTGAAATAAATATTTAAATGTTTCTTTTCTTCTGCCAAAGTGGACAACATCACTTTCCAACATTATACTCCATCTGCTAAGATCGCTAACAAACTTATGCCCTTTGCATACTCTCTACCTTTTATTGTCTACTCAGTTCCTTAGCTGTCTTTGTGTGAGTAGCAAGTTTAGCTATTGTATATATGTAGAAATAAATAATTTAATCTTACTTTCAGAGTTGATTGGCCATGTCGTTTTTTTTAAAAGAAGTCTTTGAAAACTTAATTTTACCTTTTTTGTTTACTATTTTATGGATTTTAAAAAGTGAGCATGTCGACATAATGGAAGCTGGATTGCAGAGATTGTGAAGCATATGAAATTTATTTGCGTAAAGCTGCCTGAAGCTTATTCTGTTGCCTAACTGGCTAGTCTCAAACACAAGTTCCAAAATGCAAATGCAACAAACCAGCCGGTTTAATATATGCTTTTGTAGACAGAGTTTTCAACACAATGTACAACTGAAATAAATAGATTAAAATAAAACCTTTAAAAAGTTTTATTCGAATGAGTTGCAAGTTTCTTTCCACTGGGCAGATCAGAATTCCAGGCAGTTCAAGTTGTTGTCAGCAATTATTGATATAAAGTATTGTTTTCTTTTTTGAAAAATCAAGTGAAAAAACATTTATTAACACTTTCAGTACAAAGCATACCATAAATGCACAAGGATCAAGAGTACATTCTGATATCCCTGCTCTATAGTACATTCCAAAGCAGTGAAATACATTGTGTAATTGCTTTAAAAATCTGAACAAGAATCTATATCTAAAATAAAAGCTAAAAATATTGGAAATACTCAGCAGGTCAGACAGCATCTGTGGAGAGAGGAATAAAGTTATGATCACTACTTTTGATAAGCAACAATTTACAGAAGGCAATGTAGGCTCTAAAAAATGTCTAAACTTAATTCATTAAGCCTGAAGGTGTCTTTGGAATATACAGTATTATTTGAGAGAGGAAATAAAAACCTTGTACAATTGTAATGCCTGTGTTCAACATGGAATGTTAAAATTGGCAATGTCCCTAATCCATAACTGCTAGCCTAGAAAACTAGCAAAAGCTAATTAACAAAAACATGAATGATTTGTGTGCATTAGATACTATGCTTTGGATTCTGTCTGACTGGAAATACCACTTTAAGGGACAAATGCATGTAGACATACATAGAATACATGTAGCACTGGCATCATTAGTTAATCCTAGTGAGCAGATAGTGATGTTTTCTTGTCCTGCAGCTGTTTAAGTATAAGTGGTTATACATAGACCCTGGAGAGTGAAGTGATGTAGACGATTATCAGGTAATGCTGATTGTGAGAAATGACAATGTGTTGTAATAATCTGGTGTGATATTTTCCAATATTTTCTAATTCTGTGTTGTTTCTCATAGACACAGAAAGAAATAGAAGCAAAAGGAGAATGGTACTTGCCAAACCTCCAAAAGAGTTCAGAATTTCACAAGATTCCTTACACCTTTCTTAAAGATGCTGAAAATCACTGTGTGTTGCATACTACCATTCCAATAACTTGTCCTATGAGGCTTATACATGGTATGAAGGATGATCATATTCCTTGGCAGATCTCACTGAATGTGGCACAAAATGTTCTTTCCTCGGATGTTGATCTTATTCTTCGCAAACATGGTCAGCATCGAATGACTGAAAAAGACGATATCAAATTGATAGTAAACATAATTGATGATCTAATTGACAAACTTAGAACATTGGCATAACTGTGAAGGGTTAGAAATTAGTACCACACATGTAAATAGTTAACCATACTCTGAATGAATGGAAGCCATTTTCATTGCTGCTTCCTGTGAAATCAATACTCTATGCAAAACATTTTTAAACTGCTCACAACAGAATCACAACAGATGTTGTGAGCAATGTACCTTAGAGCAAAAGTTTGTTCTCAGCAACAGAAAATGATGCCCACATTTTGGTAAATGTCCAACATGAGGCGATGTCTGATCGCATGCCATTTGAGCAGTGAGCATTGCTTGTGTAATCTAATTCCTAAAGATATGTAGCTATACCTGTTACTTTGTAATGCTACAGCTTGGTGGACTGATTTTAATTTCCCATTGGTCATTTAATGGAAATATATGCCTTATGTGATTAATGGGATATGTCTCAAATTGCTGCATTTGTACATAGATAATGTTAGGTATGCTAGCAGTCTCAATCAAAAGAATCCAATACTATTGCTAGACATATTTGCTAACTACAATTCAGAATTATTTTTCTCTGTTCCTGTGTACATATTGTGCATTACTTTGATAATGTGACTGATTTCTATAATATCTATGCTGAGAGTCTCAAAACTTGCATTGTATAATAGTTGTGTTTTCTACTACTATATACTGGGAACATCCCTGGAAAAAATAAATTGCTAATGTTGATATTTTATAAAACTGGTTGTAGAAGTAACATAAAACACATGCTATTTCATAAATCATTGGAACTTTGTCCCTACTTTCATATTACCTTCAAGATTGGTATGTCATCAAGAATGTTGCATTGAGGACATATTGAGAGAAAATATTTTGTCTTGAACATCTATAATGGATTTGCTTAAAATTTTTCAATCTTTTTAGGAAAACTACAGAGTTACATCAAATATTGCAGCATAACATATCACCTGCCTTCTGAGACTTAGATGCAGTTTGATATCAAAGTAAATAAACAACTCGACTAGATAATTGATAAAAGAGGAAACCATGAAAATGTCTGCTTTGTAAACTGGAAGGTCAGCTTTGTGTGAAAGGGATTTTTTTATTTGTTTTCAAAATATCTCATTAATTAATAACTTTACAGGTATTAACCTATGCAATTTCAAGCACATTGTCAGAATAGTTCAGTTTGTTTATATAATAGTTTAGATTTAGCATGTTTATTGTTCCATCTCCCTGGAAATTGATTGGTAGTAAAAAGTTGCACAAATAATCAAACTGGAGAAGAAAACTGAGATTACACTGCTAGTTTTTGTTTTGTTTTCTATTGTTGTCGGTTTGCCTTGTAGGAGATTGAATTTTGATTAGTTCATAAATGTAACATGCCATCATGTGGTCAGCACAGACATGGTGGGCCAAAGGGCCTGTTTTTGCGCTGTACTATTTTTTTGTGTTCTACGTATGACCAATGTGAGATCCGAGTTGTGATTTATTTTAAAATGTTTTAAAGCAGGATTACATTTGGATTAACTACAGAGGAAAAGTCAACAATTTTACTTTGTTATGCAGAGAAGAGAAATAGAAAATAAAGCTAAATTCGTTTCAAAGGATCCAACAGTAACATCATAATTCCATTTTACCAAAAGAATAGAAACTACCCTGCAATTAAGTGTTCTGTACTTGAAATGTTAATTTGTTAACGTTTGATACCTAAATAAAAACCGAAAGAACTGCGGATGCTGTAAATCAGGAACAAAAACAAAGTTGCTGGAAAAGCTCAGCAGGTCTGGCAGCATCTGTGGAGAGAAATCAGAGTCAATGTTTCAGGTCTGGTGACCATTCCTCAGAACCCGAAATGTTAACTCTGATTTTTCCTTCTCAGATGCTGCCAGACCTGCTGAGCTTTTCCAGCAACTTTCTTTTTGATCAACTTTTGATTCCTATTGTCTACCATTTTGCAATGCAAGAACATATTTGGATAATTTTAATACTGACAGTGCTTTCTATTTGAAATTCTTTTAATTGAAAGTGAACAGTTTGGCATTTCATGCATTGAGTTAAATATTCAATGGCCTTTACCTATTTGCATCCCTGTAATATTGATTCTGTTCGTGAAACCATCATTAAGACCATGCAAGCGGATTAAACCTGTTGGACAAGGGCATATCAAAATGGATAACACTTTTGCATTCTATACATGGCCCTAGGCTCCAAACCATGCCATTACCCAACAGTGTATAGCATTGCCCCTTCCTGGCTGTGCTTTAGCTCTTGAAATTTAGGATAGGTTCAAAGATGAAAGCTGAAGCTTTCCAGCAGGCCTTATAGTCTTGTGCCTTTAGAGAACAGAAGATGAAAAGCCCCCAAGTATGGCAGGCATGGATTTTGTTGGACTTTGCCTTAATGGGCTGAGTTGAGAATGTTAACTCTTGGCATCAAGGAACCCTAGCAAAACAGATGTCTGTGGGACTAGAAGAGAAATCGCTCCACAAGCTGGTGTCATACCTGGTACAAAAGAATGATAGTTGTCATAACCAATTCTCCTAACCCTGGATCGCCTATTATTGATATATCAAACTGGAATTACAACATGTGCTTTTGTCAAAAAGTGGATGGACACCAGCAAATAAGGTATAACTTCAGTTGCTCTGGAGAGAGAGAGAGAGACTTGAATCTCATACCAGCTGATGGCTCAACTGAGCAATGAGGGGATGGACTTCAAGAGGAAAATGCTCTACAAAATGAAGAGTATGTTCCTAGGACTTATCTCAGACTGTGAACATGATGGGTGAGAAGTCTGAATTAGAGACGTGCTGTGCTTTTTTTTAAGAATATATAACATCAGGGGTTAAAATCCAGTTAAGACCCACAGCAAAGTCGTTGACACTTAAATGTCTTCTTAGCCATTAGTGATAGGCAATGAATGTTGGCCTAACCAGTAACCCCCAAATCCCATAAACAATTTTTAAAAAAAAAAAAAAAAGGCGTGCTTGGGATGAATTGGGGTAGCAGCTAAGCTAATCATGATTATGAGTTCTGGTTTGAGCACTAATTTGCTGTGACGATCACAGTCAAAGAACCACTTAGGAGTCACCCCTATGACCCCTGTATTGTTTTTACACAAAGTGCTGCCAACTTGCCATTGCCAAAAAGAACCAAGACAATGTCAAGAATCTCAAAATCAACTGTTCAACTTCCAACACCAATATTGATATCTGCTGTAACAACCATGACACCTACTGTCTCGACTCTTCACAAATCATCCTGATATCATTGATTCCAGTTTTGCTAGGGCTCCTTGGTGGTACGCACTGTCAAATGCAGCCTTGATATTAAGGACTGTTACTCTCTCTTTGCTTCTGGGATTCAGCTGTTTTGTCCGTGTGTGAACCAAGGCCGCAATGAGGCCAGGAGCTGAGTGGCTAATGTGGAACCTAAACAAGCATCAGCGAGCAGCTTAGGGGTGAGTATACCTCGTGAAAGAATGCCCTTTATGCGATTTAGCATGTTTTCAACTGCAGTGACCATAAAAGAGAGTATTAGCAGAACTCCAAAGTAATAGTGCTCGCATTGAAGGAAATTTGCAAGCTGACTAAGATCACAATCTGCCTGTTCTGCATACTAGTGGATGCTAATCGCACACACTAAAGATTTCTCCAAAACAGTGTCCAACGTACCTCACATCAGGTATGCATGCTCACCAATATCACCATTTTAGATCCCAATAAAAGTGCGTTACTGAACCTAAATCACAGCTTCCTGTGTTTACAACTCGCATCAGAAAATGAGCAGGCGGCATACATGAATAAATATGCATGGAAAAACACCCAAGGATGCACTTTAATGAATAAAAGCAGCTGGAGGAGAAATGGATGCCTAATTTGAGAGCCAGTAAATTAAAGCTTTTTGTCTCTGCTGTTTTTCATGACCAGAAGAAGAATTCTTGCTCAATGCCATCTGGTGTATACCAGAGTTTAATTTATATAGGCAAGTGACAACTTGGAAAAATGTCTTTTTTTTTGTGTTCTGAGCAAGTTTTCCCAATTAAGATACATTGAGTTCATGCAGAAATCCTCCTCCTATGGAACTGTTGAAGTTATAATGACAGTTCACCATTATCAGGGGTTCTTTCATTGAACTCTAGATTCTCAGCAAACTTGCTATCATCGTCCATATCATCAGTTGACTGAAATGCTCATGATGAGTCAGCAAAATAGTCAAAATATCACAATCTAATGACTGTGCCAATTAAGAGTCCATTTATGTCTTGTGTGGTCAACTGACATTACAATGTCCTGACCATAGGCCATTGTGCTGCAATGTAAGCTCTCCTTCCACAGGTATTATCTGACCTGCTGAATATTTTCAGCATTTTCTCTTATTAAAGTATCCTCCTTGCTGTGTACTGGTGGATGATGGAGAGCAGGCAATTAAGAGTTACTCTTGTATATCAAACATTAATACTTGTACACAAACTAAATCAAATAAGCAGTTAAGGAAAATAAAGATATTTACTGATCATCCCATAGACAGCACTTTGGTGTTTCAATGTCTACATTGATAGAAGCAACCTCTCATCTTATTCAAAGTCAAGCACAAAGAACTGTTAAGAGTATAGAACTGCCAACAGGTCAGCGCCATCGTAGATTATATAAATAAAATCAATGCCTGTGTTTAACAAGGCAAAAAGTGCAACAATTTACAATGCCTTGGGAAAGTCCACTTTTTAAAAAATTAATTCATGAGATGAGGGCATTGCTGACTAGGCCAGCATTTGTTGCCTGTCTCTAATTGCCTAGAGGGTGGTTAAGAGTCGACTACGTTGCTGTGGGTCTGCAGTCATGTGTAGGCCAGACCAGGTAAGGATGGCAAGTTTCTTTTCCTAAAGGAGATTAGTGAAGCAGATAGAACAAAATCAGAAATTGCTGGAAAAACTCTGCAAGTCTGGCAGCATCTGTGGAGAGAAAATAGAGTTAACCTTTCTGGTCCCATGACCCTTCAGAAGAATTTCCAATATTTGCAGTTTTGCTTTTTGTTTAGTGAACCAGATGTATTTTTTTTTCCAAAAATCAGCAATGGAATCATGGTTATTATTAGACTCTCATTTCTGACTATTTATTAAATTCAAATTCCACCATCAATTGTGGCAGGTTTCGAACCTGGGTCCCCACATTTTCTGGGCCTCTAGACTAACGGTCCACTGATAGAACCACTAGGCTGTTATCTCTCCCTTTATTCTCGTAGTTTCCTATCTAACTTGAATGAGTTGCTTTTCACTTCATATATTGCATTGCTATTGGTTCTGGCTGGACAGAAGGGGAACATGAACTCTGCACGCGTAATTACGACTTTTGTCTTTGAGCGGAGATGAAGGAAATTCTAGCTGAGCAAAATCAGGTTTTCTACGCAATGTTTGTCTGGAAGATGGGTGTTACAAAAGAAGCTAGAAGGTACCTGGGAAAGACTGAAAGGGCAAATCCTTGATTATATAACCTCTTGAGAAACTTAGAAGGTCACAAATATCTTCTGCATTAAAAAAGTTAGGAACCTGTTCATTCAGACTTCTACCAACATTTGAATTTGTTAATCTTCAATAAATGAGTTCATTTCAGGGATGACACAGCATCGTGTGTGAGCTGAAATAAGTAACCTCATCCCGGAATAATGGTGCAAAGAGCCTCTTGTGGTGCAGTTGCTGTGTCGCTATCTCTGAGCCAGGAGACTTGGGTTAAAGTCTCACTTGCTCCAGGCGTGTATAATAACAAAGATGCGAGGGGCAAAATTTAAAGGTGATGTATGAGTCAGGTTTTTTACAGAGAGCGGTGGGTGCCTAGACCTCGCTGCCGGGGAGGTAGTGGAAGTAGATACTATAGTGACTTTTAAAGGGCGTCTTGACAAAGACATGAATAGGATGGGAATACAGGGATACGGTCCCCGGAAGGGTAGGGGGTTTTAGTTGTGACGATCAGCATGTCGGTGCAGGCTTGGAGGGCCGAAGGGTCTGTTCCTGTGCTGTAATTTTCTTTGTTCTTTGTTCTATCTCTGAACAGGTTGGTTAGAAAATATAATGATGCATAGTGGAATAACTGATCTCATCCAGAATATCATGGTGCAAGCTGCAGTAACTAATTCTTTTAAAGGAGGGAAGAGTAAGAAAAGGTCACCATTTTAAACAGATGAAGAGAACAACAGGACCAGATGACTCTCAATAAATATGTTTGAAAAATTGCTTTATATTGTTTTAATTTATTCCTCAGTCAGCTATCTGAGTTACCTTATGATTGACGGATAATTAACTGCAGAGACATTTTATAGGACAATCGTAAGAACATTGGTCCAAGAAAGACCACTGACTCACTCTATTGACTTCCATCATTCAACTAAATAGTTTGTATATTAACCTCATCGACCCACTTGTGGTTCATATCTCTTAATGCTCTTGTGAATCTCGTTTATCTCAATTGACATAACTTCAACCATGTTTTTGGACAAAATGTTCCAGAATTTCACTTTTTTGTGAGAAGTACCCCTAAAGAGCCTGGCTGTAATTTTAAGGTTACCCCATCTTGTTCTGGTCTCCCACACCGAAAGGAAATAATTTCTGTCTTTCTCTTCTTTGAACTCCTGGCTCAGAGGTAGAGACTAATATTTCATTAGTATTTTTATAGGATCCTTGTTGCATCAGATTTTTTTTTGAGAGTCCTACATGTCTTTTAGCCTTCCCCAAGTATCCTCTGACTTCTAATTATTATTATGAGCTTATACCAGCCCATTAATTTTAAGTGTTTTTGGTACATCAACTGCTCAGTCTCTCTGCTCTTCCCTAATATCTGTATTTAGAAAATACTCTGACTCTCTGAATTGCATTGCCTTGTATTTTGCCATGTGCTGCAATTTCACCCATTCACCTAACCTATGAAAGGCCATCTACAATTTTTTTACATGAGTATGGAAGTCATTAGGGAGTAGGAAACAGAGAAAGATAATGGGTGTGTCCTCCATTTGATCGGGTCCTAGTAATGGAGTCCTTCAGGACTCTGAACAGTAACAAGAATCACAGAATGGTCACAACACAAAAGGAAACCATTCATCCCAACATGTCTATGCTGGCTCTGAAGGAACAATCAACTAGTGTCACTCTGCAACCTTCTCTTCATCCTTGCACATTTCTCTGCTTCATATAATAATCCAATCCCCTCTTGAATAGCTTGAATGAATTTGCTTCTACTGCACCGCTAGACTCTGCAGATCCTAGCCTTTGCCTGCAGGAAAATGTTTTTCATCATGTTTTCATTACTTCTTTTGCCAATTACCTTAAATGTGTGTTCATTGGCTCTTGGTCCTTTTATTAAATAGGATGTTTTCTTTTTCCATATATACTCTCCAGATCCTTCATTAAATGGACCAAATCTTTTTTCATGCAGAGGATGGTGCATGTATGGAATGAGCTGCCAGAGGAAGTAGCGAAGGCTGGTAAAATTACAACATTTAAAAGGCATCTGGATGGGTACCTGAATAGAAAGGGTTTAGAGGGATATGGGTCAAATGCTGGTAAATATGACTAGGTCAGATTTGGATGTCTGGTAAGTGTACACGAGTTGGACTAAAGGGCCTGTTTCAATGCTGTATGACTCTTTAACATTTAAAAGACTTTTGGACTGGTACATGGATAGGAAGGGTTTAAAGAGATATGGACCAAATGGAGGTAAATGCAACTAGTTAAGTTGGGATATCTATTAGATAGACAGCTGGACTGAAGGGTTTGTTTTCATGCTGTATGACTCTATAACATTTAAAAGACTTTTGGACAGGTATATGGATAGGAAGGGTTTGGAGAGATATGGACCAAATGCAGGTAAATGGAACTAGTTTAGTTGAGACATCTATTAGGTAGACAAGTTGGACTAAAGGGTCTATTTCTGTACTATATGATTATATGTATCTATGACTTCTCTCAATCTTCTCTGAGGAAAGATGTCCCAACTTATCTAATCTTAGTAACCAAAGTTCCTTATCTCTAGAGTTATTCTATAAATCGTTTGCACATTATACTCTTTTTGATAAAGTCCAGGGAAGCGTATGGTTTATTAACCATGCTCTCAACCTATCCTGACACCTTTAATGACTTACCGACCTTAGCTTTTCATTGTATTCATCAATAACATCGGTTTCTGAATAGAGAGCTGTATGCCAAGTTTGTAGATGATGACGTCAAGTGGCACAGTCTAAATGCTGACTCTAATTCTCTGTTTTATTATTTTTGCTGACAATTTCCTTCGTGAAATCTTATCAAAATCTTTCTGGAAGTCTAAATGGATAACATCCATAGCCATTACATAATTTTATCATGGAAATGACCTCAAAAAATTCGAATAAGTTTGTTAGGTTTGACCTACCCTTTACAGATATATGGTTCAGAATTCTATATTTCCCCTCAATACAGGATGGCAGGCAGGGAGTATAAAATTACAAACCTTGCCAATTGCCTGTCTGCTCACTACTGGTCCATAAGTATTTTACTTGCAATGAGAGAAACCCATGTCAAGTCATAAGGCTGCCTGGCAAAAAGCTGTAAGGTTGGCAGACAGGTTGGGGCAGGGTTTGCCTCCTAGTTAGGGACCCCTGTGCTCATTTGAGGCTGTAACCCATGGTGTGAACCTTCCCCAGATGCCCCATTGACCAGTCACGCCTTCCATCCCACCCTCAACCTAGCCCTTTTATGGGGAAAGTGTTGATGTGTATGTACAAGCCTTCTGTAGTTGAATTTGTTTGCACTGAGATGTCATTTGTGAGCACAAATATCTAATATTGTCCAAGCTGCCAAGCTTGTGAGCCATATAGTTATGCTTCATTGAGGCTTAGTGACTAGTTAGGGAGGGAGGGGGGGACACAATATGTGTTAAATCTATAATGCCAATAATTAGGTATTTTTCAAGTTTCAAATGCTACATCAGAAAAATAATTTAACATTATTTAACAATGAAGCTGCACTGTATCCCTAGAATCCCTGAAAATGCTCCCTTTCCAAACTGCAAATATGTCAACCAAAAAAAGGAACAATCTTACAATACAACACAATATCATTGAGTTGCATGAGCTTTGCAGGATGCCATGATGTAGAGGTGCCAGTGTTGGAGTGGAGTGGACAAAGTCAGAAGTCATACAACACCAGGTTATAGTCCAACAGGTTTATTTGAAATCAAAAGCTTTTGGAGCACTTCTCCTTCATCAAGTGAACCACATAATTCCTTGTAGTTCGGGAATGGTAGCATTGCCACAACAGTGTCCCTCTTGCTACTCCTGCCTAACATTTGAACTTCAGCCTCGTCTATCATATGTTGCACAACCAGGATTGGTCTTCATAGTGGAACTAGCTTAGTTTAAGAAACCAATAGGTGAAGCTGGACTGAAGAAATCCCTACTTGTTCTCGCATAGTTCAACAACAATAAATGGAAAAAAAATGGAATAAAAACCACTTTTGCCACTATCAGTGAAAAAGAGAGGAGAAAAGAACCTTATTGATGCTAGGGCATCATGAGTAAGATTAACTGAAATGAAGTCTATTTAAGGGCAATAGATTTTAATGATTAAAATCCATAATTATTGTATGTACTGTGGGAGAGGGATGAGGCTCCTGGGAATTTGAATGTTGTTGCGAAGGTAGCAACACTTGTATGAAACCTTGTGCACAATGAACACAATTTGCAGCTTTCCTAGGTTAATAACCTCCATAAAAGTGTTAAGCTCAATACTGACACACTTGTTTCTCAGTGGGTCGTGAATTATGTGGCTTAATGTCCAAAGCGGGGGTAATGCAGCCTTGTCGTGCTGGAGGAGTGATGCTTTATCAGTGGCAGCACTTTTTAATTGAATCTCAAACCGGGTTCCCCAGGTGGGGTGAACCTTTAAAGGATAACTGCGCTATTTGACGAACAACAATGGTATTCTCTCTTCCACCCTGGCCAATATTTGTCCTATATACATCACCTATAAACAAGCTATGAGATAACTAACTGGTTGCAAATCGAACTGCGGTGTTTCCCAGCAACAGTGACTGTTTCAAAAATATCTCCTAGTTAGGGAAAGGTGCTATCTAAATTCAATTTCTCTCTCTCTCTCTGTTTAAAGCGCCCAAGGCTCCTTTTAAAGATTTCTTTGGGTGGGAACAGATTGCCTGCTGTGTTTTAGAGCCACATGAAGTGTCAGGAGTGTGACAACCGAAAGGAATTTCCACTCTGCCGTGTGCCAGAGTAACCTGGGACTCCTGGGGAACCTTTGAACCGCAGTCGGGAAACAGGAGTAGTATCAATGAAGGTTTGTTTTGAATGGTTCGAGGCGTGGTCAGTGCCAAGTCAATGTATTTCCATTCAGAAAAATAGTCTGGGATCTCTGGGCTGCAAGTCACTTCAGTTCAGAAGAAACTGGAGTTCGAGCATTCAGAAAAACAATGTAAGTGAGTCGCTCGCTGCCTCATTTATGTAGAACTAATATAGTAGCTAAACGCTTGATTTTTATTTAAAATACAAAAAAAACTGCGGATGCTGGAGATTTACAACAAAAAACACCATTGGAAACGTTAACCCTGCTTTCTCCCTGCCTGCTGAGTTTCTCCAACGGTTTCTGCTTTTGCTTAATTATACCTGTTCGGTTCAGTCTCTGTTTTGCAGTAGGTAGGAAACTCACCTGATGGAATGGGTTTTGTGTTTTCTTCCAGAATGTCGTTTGTGAGCTTCCAACTGAGTCTCGTCCCTCTGCTCATTTATGGTAAGGTGAAAGATTATTGTTCCTCTCAGCTACCGTGACATACTACTGGTCCCAACAAACCGCCGCCGTTAAGTACGCTTAAACCACTCAGGATTTGAAATGCTAGCAACAGGATGTTTATGAAAAGTATCGTCTAGCTCCTCTAATCCACGACAATGAATTACTAAAGAGTCTATTTGGCACATTTTAGCAACAACGCTTTATTTTTATTTAAATGCTGTATAAAGGCCACATTCCATTCTGCAAAACCGAATATCCATCTTCTGAGGAAAGGTCATTCGACCCGAAACATTGACTCTGATTTTCTCTCCACAGATGCTGCCAGACCTGCTGAGCTTTTCCAGCAACTTTTGTTTTTGTTTGAGAACATTCAACTCCTCAGGTTGTGATACAAACTCATGATGCATAATCCATAAAATGATAAATCATAAAAAATGTTCAGTGTCTAAAATGATGTGGAATACATGCCTCACTGCAATATATTGGATACTTAAAATACTTCAACATTAAGTTTGACTGTGTCCTACTATTGAATGGTGATTAGATCTTATATCTCCAATGTGCCATGTTTCATTTGTGAAGAGCTTGAAAGTAAATGTTGACTAAATTTTGATCAGTTTAACATAGGATTAATTGGTTTGGCATCTGTATAATGAACTGGCAAATTAGGCGAATTTTGGAAACCCTCTCAACTAATAGATAGGTCTAATTGATCCTTAGGAGCCTGATTTGCCATTTAAACACTGGGCCTGACGAAGGCCAGCTATCAAGACATAGGTTATAATACTCTGGGTGTGAATGGCCAAATGTCTTTCAAGCTTGTTGCTATGGGCTCCAGTCTGAAGCAGGGTAGCCGTGACCCGTTTAATAAACTTGCTGGTTGTGAAACCTACACATGTCTGCACCTGAACACTGAAATGAGATAAAAGTATAAATGTTTAATGTGACAATTATCTTCACTGCCATAGGCAATGGTTGACTCTCTTTTCCCACCGGTCATCCTTCAACATGGTGCACAGTTCAATGAGTACAAGTTTGACATTTACAAGCTGTGATGACACTGCTACTGTGACAGGATAGTGCCTTCTGCTGAGTACAACCCTTCAGTCATTCCCTGTTCCGCATCCCCTATGTTTGATGTTGCAGACGAAGAGCACTGTAGTTCCTCATCAGTTCGTACATGGAACTCATGTCTCTGTTTATGAGTACTGTGTTCAAGGTTGATGCTTCTCTTTATCTCCCTGGCTGGCTTCAGTGCTACATACATTTATTGGCCACAGATTACAAGCAAGCATCTTCTAACACAATGACCACAACTTAAGCCAGTGCCTATCTCTCAGAGTGCAAATGAATCCCAGTCTATGCCCCATGTGCCTACAAATAAACATTTAGGTTAATGGTTTGGACAAGGGGGATGTTGTTGTACTGTGTTAGCATCCTTTCCTCTGAGCTAGGAGACCTAGGTTTAAGTCCTACTTGCTCTGGTAGTGTGCAATAAAGTCTCTCTAAACAGATCGATTTAAAAAATATATTAACACCTCTCAAACTGTCAATTGTTACATTTAGTTAATCAATCTTTTATAAACAATAGCAATTGTTGATGCAGTTAACCAGTTTCAGTTGCTAATCAGAAGTTTGTGCCTGTGACCAGAATTCTCATTTCTATTTCTGTTCAAACATTCAGTTTACATTTTAAAATTACTCCAACTACAGCATTTCTAAAATTATTTGCATTGTTGCGTCTTTTAAATTTACTCAAATTACGATATTGTCAAAGGCAGTGTCTGACCCTGACAATAGTGCATCAACAAATGAATCAATAAAACACTTGTTAGTAAATTATTCAACATTAGTCTGCTGCAATATTTTAAGGAAACATCACTCTTCTTATACTGCACGTCATTCATTTCACTCTAATACTTTGTCAAAGTGTACAATTGAATCAAAGCAACTAACCTTTCAAATTATTCACCAAAAATATTCATGTACAGCTCTTCATTTTGCAAATGCTCACAGTTAAGCTTTTTCTTGCAGTTTGTGAGAATTCACAAACTTTAATTTATTCTTACACACGCAATGCTAATTACTTGTTTTTAAAATTAAAACAGAGTTACTCTGTCCCCTGTAGTGCTCACATTGAGGAAGAGAAAATTTTCACATTGATGTAATTTGCTTTAATGAAAGCAACAAATTCTAAATTACCTGCTGTTTGCACAAGTGTTTTATTAAACATCACAAGTAACGTACTATGATTATTAGTACAGTCAATATAATTCCTCACATACGTCATTATCATAAACCAAAACCAGTTCTGATGAAGAGTCACTGGACTCAAAACGTTAACTCTGCTTACTTTCCGCATATGCTGCCAGACCTGCTGAGTTTTACCAGAAATTTCTATTTATGTTTCAGATCTCCAGTTCTTTGTTTTACATTAATAATAAACCATATTTTCATCCAATGTCGACTCAGATTGTACACTACTCTCCTGCAATTTATGATTTTCTAACACTGGTTTGCCTGTTTATTATCTTGTAACATTATTACTATTTGGCTTTCTGGATCTTAGAATCTTAGAATCCCTACAGTGTTGAAACAGGCCGTTAGGCCATTGAGTCCACACTGACCCTCCGAACAGCTGCCCACCCAGACCCACCCCCCTCGCCACTGCCTCTAACCCGGCATTCCCCACGGCCATTGGACTGTGGGAGGAAACTGGAGCACTCAGAGAAACCCCACACAGACACAAGGAGAATGTGCTCCACACAGATTGTTGTCCGAGGGTGGAATCAATCTGAGGTCCCTGGTGCTGTGAGACAGCAATGCTAAGCACTGAGCCACTATGCCACCCTACTGTGCCAGGTCTTCTCAATTTAAACTTAAGACCAAGAACTAATCGCGGTATCGGATGGCCAAAATCCCCCGTGTGATAGTGACATGTATCTGAGTGATAAGGATTCAATGGGCATTTCCCACTCGCGTTGTTCAGTAGGTTTCAAACAAAATGTTGGATCTTCAATTTGACCAAACTTCAGGCCATGGGGACCTTGGTGGAAGTGATTGTGCTGCACCACACAATAATTTGCTCAAGGCAGATAACTACTGTCAGTGTGGCTGGATGGCAGTTTTGTAACTACATGGTGTTGCATCGTTCGTCTATAGTGAATCCACAGGCAACACTTCATGGGCTATTACAATTGTAACTGGAAATGCAGTCATATTTAATTTGAATTCAAAAATCCAAGTCACCTGTTTTCCACGTCATGTTTTGTTATAAACCATTGATGTTATTGATGTGAACTATGCCTTATACTAAATCTCACTTGCTTTGTGCATATATGTCACAGCCATGTCTTCGGCCTGTACCCCTGGAACTACTATCCTCGTACTGTAGCATGGTAATTCACATGGTAAATATCACAGGCCTTTCTCCATAAACCTACACCATTGCTAACACTTGTCAAACTAAATTTCAGGTAATCATCATTACAGAATTCGGTATCTGATTGTTTACAAAGTCCGTTGATCCCATCTGTACCTCATCGAAGAGAAAGCTTTTATACCTGGGATACATGATTGCTAGATTGCTCCCATGAAATAGGTAGCCAGACCTGTAACAATCAATATTGTCTGAACTATAATCCATCTGTTGGCAAAATGTAGTGAAAAAGAATCATACCCAAATGTTATCCCTGTTGTTCTCTTTCCACAGAGGCTGCCACACGCGCTGAGTTTCTCCAGCATTCTGTGTTTTTACATGTGTAGTATTCACACTTTTATAGTTTTTGCATGATTCATGTGAAACTAATTGGTATATTTTGGATATTCTCATCACTGGAATCTGAACTAGATTTACAATAGGACGCGCTCTATCAATTATTGAATTAGTATTTGCCAGTTTGATTCAAATACGTCATCCTTGTTTACCATATTTTAAGACAGTTACTGGTCTCAAACCTGATGCTCAAATGATTGAGCCTTTATGACAAAATACTTATGAACCTGATTTTTGGATTTTCCAAAATTCTATGTTGCAATTTGATTTATCCAAGCATTGAATTCATATCCTCAACCTTATTTCGTCCCACAATTCTTGCCTTAACTCAATTTAAACGGATTTGAACTCTTGAGACAATGCATAGTTTGATCCTCACATTAGTCAAATAAAATTTCAAGCTCCATTAAGCATTTAACCTTAAACATCTTTGATTATTAGAATATTTTTAACCCACAAATAATCACCTTTTATATTCATATCGATTCTGATGAATGGTTTTGAACTGAAAGGGTCTTGTAGCAAAGGAGCAAAGGAGCAAAGGTATTGTTATAGCTTAAGTATTTTCTAACTTTCCGGACATTTTTGGAAAATTGTTTTAAATTTTGGTCTCCCTGCTATACGGCAGATGCCATGAAACTTGAGAGCGTTCAGAAAAGATTTACAAGGATGTTGCCACGGTTGGAGGGTTTGAGCTATAGGGTGAGGCTGAATAGGCTGGGGCTATTTTCCCTGGAGCATTGGAGGCTGAAGGGTGATCTCACAGAGATTTATTAAATCATGAGGGTCATGGATAGGTGAATAATCAAGGTCTTTTCCCCAGGTTAGGGGAGTCCAAAGCTAGAGGGCATAGGTTTAAGGTGAGAGGGGAAATATTTAAAAGGGACTTAAAGGGCAAATTTTTCACTCAGAGCATGGTGCATGTATAGAATGAGCTGCCAGAGGAAGTGGGGGAGGCTGGTGCAGTCACAACATTTAAAAGGCATCTGGATGGGTACATGAATAGGAAGGTTTAGAAGGATATGGTCCAAATGGTGGAAAATGGGACTAGATTAATTTAGAATATCTGGTCGGTATGGACAAGTTGTACCAAAGGATCTGTTTCATTGCTGTACATCTCTATGATTCTATGACCAGATTTGCATAGAGTTAATTAAGAAATAAAAACATCCAAACATGCCTTCATGCCAATTTTGATTTATATTCATGTAGCTAAGAGACCATC